GCCATGGAACTGAATTTGGTTATTAACTGTACCAGTCTTTTGGTGGAGTTTTTAGGGCCTTCTATATACAGTATCATGTCATCTGTGAATAATGATAATTTAACTTGTTCCTTTCCTATCCTTATGCCTCTTATTTTTTCTCTTGTCTTTCTGGCTAAAATTTCCAGAACTGTGTTGAATAGGAGTGAGGATAGTGAACATCTTGTCTTGTTTTTGATTTTAGAAATTTTCAGTTTTTGTCCATTTAATATGATGTTGGCTGTTGGTTTGTCATAGATAGCTTTTATCAGGTTGAGATAGAGCCCATCTATTCCAATTCCTATAGGGTTTTTAATCATGAATGAGTGTTGGACATTATCAAAAGATTTTTCTGCATCTATTGAGATGATCATGTGATTTTTGTCCTTTGCTTTGTTGATATGGTGTATTGCATCTATTGATTTGCATATGTTGAATGATCCCTGCATTCCTGGGATAAATTCCATCTGGTCACGATGTATAATATTCTTGATGATTTGTTTAATTCTGTGTGTTTGCATTTTATTGAGGATTTTTGTATATATGTTCCTTAGAGAGATTGGCCTGTAGTTCTCTTTTTTGGTTGGGTCTTTCTCTGATTTTGATGTCAGGGTACTACTTGCCTCTAGGAATGAATTAGGGAGTATTGCTTCCCTTTTAATTTCATTAAAGAGTTTGACGAGTATTGGTATTACATCTCTAAATTTCTTGTAGAATTCAGCAGTGAATCTGTCAGGACCTGGACTTTTCTTTGTTGGTATGTTTTTATATTTTTAATTTCATAAACTGATATTGGGTTATTCAGAGTTTTTACATTTTCTTGATTCAGCTTTGGTAATTCATACATACCTAAGAATCTTTCATTTCTTCTGTTTTCCTTCCTATGAAAGTAAGGATTTTCAAAGTAAGTATTGACAATCTTCTGAATTTTCACAGGATCTGTAGTGATTTTACCCTTATCATTCCTTGATACTAGAAATTGACTCTTTTCTTTCCTTTTTCTTTTTTGGTCTCTTTTGAGACAGGGTCTTGCTATGCAGTTCAGGCTGGCCTTGTGCTCACTTTGTAGCCCAGACTGGCCTCAAACTCACAATGATCCTCCTGCCTCAGACCCCCAAGTGCTGGGATTACAGGCATGCACCACTACGCCTGGCTTTTCTTTCCTTATTTTGATAAATTTTGCTAAGGGTTTATCAAATTTATTTCTTGTTTCAGAGAACCAACTCTTTAATTCATTAATTCTTTGTATTGTTTTCTTGGTCTCCATTGTGTTAATTTCTGCTGTGAACTTTATACTTTCCTCCCTTGTATGGGCTTTAGACTTATCTTGCTCTTCTTTTTCTAGCAGCTTGAGGTATAATATTAGGTTGTTCATTTGTGCTCATTCTGTTTTCCTTCTATGAGAATTCAATGCTATAAATTTGCTTCTTAGGACTGCTTTCCTTGCATACCATAAGTTCTGGTATACTGCATCTGCATTCTGTTTTACTTGTAGATATTGTTTAATTTTTTCCTTTATTTCATCTCTGACCCATTGGTTGTTTAGGATGGTATTATTTAATTTTCTTGTGTTTTGGGAGTTTTTGCAGTTTCTTTTGCCATTTATTTCTAATTTCATTGCACTATAGTCAGAAAATATGCGTGGGGTAATTTCAATTCCTTTGCATTTACTTAAGCATGTTCTGTGGGCTAGTATATGATCCATTTTAGAGAACAGCCTGTGCACAGCTGACAAGAAGGTGTATTCTGATGATGTTGGGTGAAATAGTCTGAAAACATCTACTAAGTCCATTTGTTCACAGGTTTGGTTCAGCTCTTGTAATTCTTTGCTGATTTTTTTTGTTTAGTTGATCTCTTTGCAACAGTGGGGTATTGAGGTCTCCTATTACAAATGTTATTGCTTATTTGATTTTTTATTCCTATTAATAATTGTGTTATATAGTTGTGTACTCACATATTTACTGCATCTATATTTAGGATAGTTATCTCTTCTTACTAGTTTCCCTTAACAAGTATGTAATGACCTTCTATATGTCTTTTGATAATTTTTTGTGTCCTAGTTACTTTTATCTCATTGCTGGGACATAAATTAAGGAAGGAAAGACACCCAAAATTAAGGAAGGAAAGATTTATTTACCTCACAGTTTGTGGAGGTTTCAGTCCATACTCAGCAGGATCCAAGGCAGAACTGCATATGGCAGAAGGCAACAGTACATGGCAGCAGTGGAGAACAGCAAAAGCAAGAGCAAAAGGGAGGAGCAGCAAAGGGCAAGCCTTTTTCACTCCCTTGTATTGTATTTAAGCTACCCACCCTAGAGTGAGTGTAGCACTTATACCCACAATCCCAGCATTAGACCATGAATCAATCAAAAACTCTAGAAACTGACCCCACAACAGCATGAGACTTTGGTGGAACATCTAGAAACAAACCATAGCACTTGATTTGAAGTTCACTTGTCTGCAAACAGCATTGGTACCCCTGCTTTTTTGTGGGTTCCTGTTGCATGGAAGATAGTTTTCCATCCTTTGATTATCAGTCTATGAATTTCTTTTTATGTTAAATATTTTCTTGTATATAGCACATTGTTGGATATTGTTTCTTGATCTACCATGCCAGTCTGTTTCTTTTGATTGGTGAGTTGAGGCCATTTACATTTATAGTTACAACTGATATGCATTGGCCTATCTTGATCATGGTATTTTCCTGCTGTTGGTTCCCTGCTTTTCCCCTCCATTTAATTGCTTGTTGCAGTGCCTGGTAGTTTGTTTCTGTTGTTGTTCTTAGAATTGTGGTCATTTTTATTTCTGTCAGAATATCTTTTAGTACTCTTTGTAGGGTTGATTTTGTGGTCATAAATCTCTTCAGTTGTTCTTTGTCATGAAAGTATCATATTTCTCCATTAATTTTTAAAGATAGTTTTGCAGGGTACATCAGTCTAGGTTGGAAGTTCTTTTCTTTCAGGACTTGAAATAGTTCACTCCAAGCTCTTCTTGATTTGAGGGATTGTGTTGAAACGTCTGCCATGATTCTGGTGAGCTTTCCTTTTTATGTGATCTGTCTCTTTTCTCTAACAATTTTAATATTCTACGGCTGGGGATTTAGCTCAGTGGCAAAAGCGCCTCCCTGGCATGTGTAAAGTCGTGAGTTCGGTTCCCGGTACCGGAGAAAAACGAAAACAAACAAACAAAAAAAAAAAAAATTTAATATTCTGTTTTTGTGCTGAATTTCTGGAATCTTGATTATTATATGTCTTGATATAGTTTTATTTTGGTCATGACTGTTTGGAGTCCTATATGGTTCATTTATTTGTATGCAAAATTGTTTATCCATGCTTGGGAAGTTTTCTGCCTTTATATCTGTGAGGAGTTTTTTTTAAATGGCATTTGTACTATCTCTAGCTTTCTCATTGGCCCCGGTCGATCTTATGTCATTCTTGTTAGCTTTATCTTGTAGCTCTAGGATTAATGTTTTATGGTATTTTGATATTTTTAAGATATCTTTCTTTTCATGATCACTAGCTGTGAGTCTGTCTTCAAGGTCTGAAATTCTGTCCTCTCTTTCATTTAATCTGTTGCTTACCCTTTCATTGGAGGTTTTATTTGGGTCTGTTTCATGGGTTCCATTTCTTTCCTATGTTGGGCACTTTTCTTTTCATCATTTTTCTAAGTTCATCTATTCTTTTATCTGTATCTTCTCAAATATCTTTGATTTTAAGCATCATTTCTTTCTGTACCTGAGAGATTTTCTCTATCATCTTTTCCATTTGTTATTTCACTTTTGTTTCTATCATATCAGAAATTTCCAGTGTTTTGCCGCCAATTTCGTCTATCTCTTTAAGCTCTGGCCTTTTCCTGGGTGGGTTGAATGTCTGAGGTTTCATTTTGCTTCAGTGTTTTGTCATTTTCTATTTTTTCTTTTATTTTGTTTTCTATGTTGATATTTGCTGATTTATTATGGTATATGGCTGTATTGCTAGTATTGAGGTTTCCCTAGAAGATGTCTGTTCTTCAGAGATGTCTTCTAGATCTAGCTGGTTTCTTATAGCTATCCCTAGACCATAACTTGCCAGTTTTAAAGGTATACAAAATTACTATATGGTTCAGCTTCTTGTCCATTGGTACTCAGCTGTGGTGATGATTATGAACTCATAGAATCACAGTGTTGTCATACAGGGAAGAAAAACTCTTTTTAACATGTATAACATCCTGGTTAAAGTAGTACAGTTATGAATCACAGTAGTTTCAAGTACAGCTTAACTACTGTCAAACTATGGTAACCATTAATCTGTTACTTCTGACCACAGGAGCAAACTCTAAAGTTATGTAACAAAATCAAACATATACTGTGCACTTGTATGCAGTGATTTTCCCCTTAGTGGGGTGATTTTACCCTACTTCAGGGGGCAGGGGGGTTAATATGTGTAATGGTAGGGCTAATATGATGAGCGAGGTCAAATATAGTAGAATAAAGGTTGGAGATTAAACCTGAGTTTTGGGAAACTGAAAGACAGAGGAGGGAATGAGTGAAATAGAATATAAAGGAAATTCAGAAAAGGCAGAGACAACATTTACTCACTTGAAAGTTTAAATTCAAGAAGTAGTTGAGGAAAGAAAGATGATCTATAGAAGAAAATTAAAAGAAAAGGTAAGAAACCTAAATATTGAAAAAAAGAGAACAAAAGAGAAAGAAAACAAAAAGAAAAGAAGAAAAGAAAGAAAGAAAAAAGAGACCAGAGAAACAGAGGTGAAAAAAAGGAAAAAAACTCTTAAATACAAAAATAACTACAGAATACAAAGCAAAAACAAGATGACATCCAACCAGACTGGAAAGGGATAGCCAATCAGACAAGCAAGGGGGAATGAAAGTTTTAAAATGTCTCTGGTGTTTACAGTTCTATGATAGTGTCCATTTTTTTTTTTTTTTCTGGTACTGGGAATTGAACTCATGACCTTGCGCTTGCCAGGCAGGCGCTGTGCCGCTGAGCTAAATCCCCAGCCCCATAGTGTCTATATTTAATGCTAGAAATGTGCTGGCTATGGAGCTGATCTTGGCCTCTGGATGTGGGGGTTGAGACTGGTTTCTGTTGGTGGAGTTCTCCAGAGTTCAACTGCTGTCTCCTCACTGCTGTTTCAGACACTTCCACTTTGCTGGTCTTGCTAATTACTTTGGCCTCCAAAGGTGTGTGTGGCCATATCCCCGGGGCCTGGCTGTTTTCCTGGTTGTCATGTGTTGGGGCTCTGGCTGGTCCACCCACCAAAGGTGCGTGTCCTTACATTCCTCTCCCAGAGCTCACAGTCCTGGAGATAATGTAGGAAGTATAGAGCACAGGTTTGCTTTCCTCTTGCAGGTCCAGTTGTCCCAGAGATAATGGAGGAAGCACAGAGCATGAACTCAGACTCTTCTCTCAGACCCTGCTGTGCCAGAGATCTGTGGTAGGTTTTTAATAACATCTCCAATTTTATTGACTGATATTGCTTTATTTAGAATTTTTATATTTTTTTGATTCAGGTTTGGAAATTCATATGTAGCTAAGAATCTGCCCATTCCTTTTGTGTTTTCTAGCTTACTAGAATATAGGGTCTTGAAGTAGGTATTGATGACTTTTTTAGTTTAGAGAGAAAAAATAATAACAAAATAACAATAATGAAGAAAAAATACAAAACAATAAAAATGATACAGGATTTCAAAACAAGATGAAAGGAATTAACAGTGGTCATTATATTACACACTGTTATCTTCAAAAAGTTGCTTCAGATTATCTTCAAAGTTGCTCAGATTACCAGATGTGAGAATGCAAGATTGATCAAACAATTAAAGACAATAAAAAGTAATAAAAAACATTAGAAATGATACAGAGCTTCATTAAACAAGATGGTAGGAATTCAACAAGGGTTGTTATATTGTATATTGTTGTCTTCGAGTTACTTTTTCCAATTACCAGATGTTAGCATGCAAAATTGGTCAAGAAAAAAAATTTAAGCATTAACTCCTTCTATCAGTAAACCAATAGACATCAGCAATGCACTTATCCCAGTTATCTTTGTATATACATATATCTATTTCTTTTTCTAATTTTAAAGAGAAAAAAATTTTAAAGAGAAAATAACAAAAACTAAATAACAAAAACAAAGGCATAAACCAAACAACATAAAAATAAAAATGATACAGAATCTGAAAATAAGGTGATAGGAAATTAACAGTGGTTGTTATATCACATATTGTTATCTTTAAAGTGGTTACTCAGATAACCAGATATAGGCATGCAAGATTGATCAAACATTACACACTTCTCTTCCATGCAATAAACCAATAGAAACTAGTAGTACAATTATTTATATATATATATGTATATATATATATACACATACATATTTTTCTTCTTTCTTTTTTTTCTTTTCCCTCATTCCAGTTGTTTTTTCCTATTGGAGCATTTTCTTTTCCTTTCACAATATCTATGTACTTTTCAGATTTTATTTACTATTTCAGGTTTTTATACTAGGGAGGCAATATGATGTTTACACATGTGAGTCTGATTTATTTCACTTATGAGTATGGTCTCTAGCTGCATCCATTTACCTATAAAAGCCTCAAGTTTATCTTTCCTTATAGCTGAGTAATGCTCTACTGTATAAAAATGCCACATCTTTTTTATCCATTTCTCAGTTGATGGACATTTGGGTTATTTCCAAGAAAGATTTAGCTTTTACAAATTGTGCTGCTATAAACATGAATGCACATATATTGTGGTGTTATGATGTTTTCAGTTTTTCTGGAAAAATACCCAGCAGAGAAATAGCTAGGTTGAATGGCACCTCTAATCCTAGCTTTGTTAGGAGTCTCCAAACTGATTTCCATAGTGGTTGCACCAGTCTATGCTCATACCAACAATGGAGCAGGCAGGGTTCCTTTTTCCCCACAGTCTTTCCAGCGTTTGTTATTGGTTTATTTCTTGATGACGGACATTCTTGCTGGGGTGAGATGGAATCTCAGTGTTGTTTTAATTTGAATTCTCAACTGACTAATATATTGAACATTTTGTTATATATTTATTTGCTATTTGTATTTCTTCATGTGAGAAGTGTGTATTCATCTCAAATGCCCATTTTTGGATCAGGTCTTTGAATTTTGGGGGCCTGATTGTTTTAATTCTTTACATTTTCGAGGCAGAATTCCTTTGTCTGAGGAAGTTGGCTAAAATTTTCTCCCAATTCATGGATTTCCTCTTTATGCTGATGGTGATTTCTTCTGATGTGCAAAAACTTTTCAATAAGATGAGATCTCAGTTGTTGATTCTTTGAAGTATTTCCCATGAAGTTTTGTTTTTGTTCATGAACTCTCTGCCTACCCCTATGTCTTCAAGATTTCTACCTACTTTCTCTTCCAGTAGATTTAGTGTTTCTGTTGTAATATTTAGACCTTTAAGCCATTTTGACTTTAATTTGGTGCATAGATATCTGTCTAGGTTTAGTCTTTGGCATGTGAAGAGCCAGTTTTTCCAGCACCATTTATTAAAGAGGCTATCTTTCTTCCAGTAAACATGTTTGGCCCCTTTGTCAAAGATGAAGTGATTGAGTGTGTTTGTGGTTGTGGCTGCATCTTTTAGTTTGTTCCACTGATCTTCAAGCCTTTTTTATTTTTTATTTTTTTTGCCAATGTCATGCCTATTTTATCACAGTAGTTTTCTAGGATAATTTCAAATCAGGGATTACATTCCATTTCAGTAAAGTTGTAGTATGCAAGATCATATTAAAAATTAGTGGCTGTTTTTACACCAGCAACAACCACTTAGAATAAGATAATTTTTAAAAGATGCCATTTACAAGAGCAACAAAAAATTATGCAGTGCCTAGCAATGAATCTTGTAAAACAAATATGAACATTTATGAAAATTAGTATAAATTTGTATTGATGATCAATGTCAGTGAAATGATAGCTCATGTTCATGATTAGGAAGACACAATGTTACATAGATGTAACTTTCTTGGAATTGATACACAAACTTAATTCATAATCTAGTGATCAACACATGTTTTTGGGAAATTTGATAGGCTGATTGAAAACTTCATTTGATGAAGAAATGATTAAGAATAGCTAGAATAATTTTGTGTAACAGTGTGGTGGTGTGGGAAATAATTTACCAGATAGCTAGATTTTGCATAAGGCAATCAATCCATGAAGTAGCAGCCAGGGATAGAGAAACAGACCAATGTACCAAAATGGAGGCTCAGATTAAGATTTAGGAATATGTAGAAATGCAGAGAATGACAAATATGCCATAAAAGATAAGCAGATAAAGGATGAGTTATTCAGATACAAGATGGATTGATCAGGAAAATAAAAATTAAAATAACAGCAATGCATCATTTTATAATCATAAAATTGGCAAGTATGAAAACACCTGACAGCACTAGGCAATGATAAAGATGAGGAGAAATGGAAGCTCCTAAACTGATGTTAGGGCTGTGCATTTGTACAACCACCTTGGAGAGAGAGCAACGTGTTAATATTTAAGAAATGCTAAAATATCCTTTTTATGTCCCCCAATAATTCTACTTCTAGGTTTATATCCTGAAGGAACCCTCCAAAATGAAATTGACATAGGAATGCCCATTTTAAAGTCACTTAAAATAGTGGAAATTAAGATCTCCTTTTTGTAGGGAGATTAATTAAAAGTACATATATCTGTTTACAACAGATAGAAACAATAAGCTGGAACACTGATATACTCTAGTATTGAAATAAAATTAATAAATTCAAAAATAATTATACTATTACTTATGGATATAAGATACATGCATTCAAAAATAACCAGGAAAGATATAGGACAACTGAAGGACTCAATAAATAAAGGGCTAAACAATTGTTGTAGGATACAAATTATAGTACCTGTGATGTTTCATTTGTTTAAAAGTGTTGGGAAAGGTAAGGCAAAATATTATTTATCAAATTTGAGGTTTGTTATATTCCATGTGATTTTCAAGTGACTAAATCATAGATGGAGTTCGAGTGAGGTTGTAGGGTAACTCTGGGTAGGAAGAAGTGAATAAAAGAAAATGTCAGTCTTTGGCAATCAAATTTGTGACTTCATCTTTATTTGAGAAAGTTGATTGTATCTTAGATTTGGAAATTTTCCTTTTGAATTTTCTTATTTGTTTCTAAAAAAGATCCAAAGAACTTCTGGGTGTCCCTAGTATGCATTTCCAGGGCTTGGCCTGGCAAACGAATACAGCCTGGAAGAACAAGAGGACAGTGGGGAGAGAAAATGTAGAACCCAGCTGGTTGGAAGGAAGATTTAGTTTTGATTTAGGATTAGTAGGAAGATGAATCAGAGAACGGGTTGAAAGTTGAGCACAAATATTTGCTTTTTTTTTTGTTTTTTGGTACCGGTAATTGAACTCATGGCCTTGCGCTCGCTAGGCAGGCACTTATGCCACTGAGCCGTATCCCGGCCCTGAGCACAAATATTTGTGTCTGGATGGGTGTCTGAAGATATGTTTTATCATGTCTGTACATTTCTAGAGAGGGTTAGAATCCCATTTTCCTCTTTCCTTAGAAGTATGTTTTAATTATGTTTGTTGAAGCAAAGAAGAAGCTTGTCTCAGGTTTCATTTTTAAACACACACACACACACACCCTAACACACCACTGCTCAGGAAATATTAAATCAATTTATTCTTTTTTTTTTTTTTTAAAAGACAGTTTATTTTTACTTTTTTTTTTTTTTTTTTTTTTTGTTTTTCTCCGG